TATTTATCAGTTCTACCATGTTCTACCAACTCTGACCTCAAGTTTCAGTAGCGCGTTTTGGTGGACAATAAATAATGATAGTCCTCATTGTCACAAGTGATGTAGTTCAATCACCATGTGCTACTTCAGTCAATACTCCTGAATAGAGTAGTGATAGTATTGCATGAAATATTCCTGACCTAGATCTATGTATCAAAAATAAGATAGAATCATCTACGTGAATTGACACCGCTTACTGAACAAAAACGAAAGAAACATGTAGGTATGTTTTATGTTGAACATGACGCCAGCGGCGATAAAATAAAAGATGACAAATGAAAATCGTGGTCTGCATTCTCGGAATTGCAATACGTTTTTTTACTCAAATTGCATAGACGGTGTGATCAAGTTTCAATGAGTAATACTCCAGGAATCGATGTAACTGGAAACGGCTCATACTTATAGTAGGTATACAGGGTGTAATTTAATCAATTGCGAAAAATATACGATATGGTTCCTTAAATCATTTTGAGAAGAAAATTTCATATGAACATATGCCCTAACCTAAACCTCTTAACTTTCGAGCTAAAAAGGTGTTGAAAGTTTTAGAAAAAAATAGTTTTCTTATTATTTCCTCATAATTGTTCTAGGTAATTTCATGAAATTTGACATGCACCCACCTACTAATCGCCCAATAGGCATTTCTTGATGCAGAAGATATCTCAATATTATCACCAGTGGCATCCGTATGTATATTGTATACTGGAGATAATTCTAAGAAAAATACAGTAGGCCCTTGCATTTCCAAAAAATATAAATCATTTTTTAAATCCTCTGCATTTATTTTACAACAATTTGATCCGTCCGACGCATCGTTCTCGCGTAAAAAAATAAAAACCATTTTTACTAACTCAACCAATTGACTTTACTTGAAAAAAAACACACATCTTATATGGCGTATGTTTATATGAACTCATGTTCTTAAAATGAGCTAAGGAACCATATCCTATATTTTAAGTCATCTATTGAATAACAACCTGTATATATATAGAAAGTTGAATTATATTTCTTCAATGAAAATATTGCTAATTTTTACCCTAGTTTGTGCCAATGTTGAATCTAATGAAAGTTGTAATTTTTTTTTACTGGATTGAATTTTTGGCCAAAGACCCTGCTTCTAAACTTTTCAATTTTATTAATTATGTGATCTCCACGTGGCCTTTTATAGGTGTGTTTTTTCTCAATATATTATATTATCCTTGCAAACCAATATCTTTACAGGTACTGTTTATTGTGTCTGAAGATGGCTGTTTGAGCAGGAACTAGTCACAATAAGTAACAATTTTTGTAATTTAACTTTGTGGTCGACCGACTTAGTGTTTTGTTTATTCTTCGAAAAAATCTGGACTACTTTGAGAAGGATGAATGGTTTCCATGACTTATTAATATTATCATTTATTATCACCATTATTATTATGATCATCTGAGTATTATTAATTTCACTCACCATCGTCGGCGTAGGTTTCTGATCCGTATCCGTCCTGCAGCCCATTGGCCCACGTGCCCTCGTACTTGGCCGTCGATGTGTTCGACTGCCTGACGCCGTAGCGGCCCTTGAAGCCCTGCGTCCATTCGCCCCTGTATATCCAGCGGCCGCGCGTCTCGACGCCCAAGCCGTGGCGCTTGCCGTTCTGCCATTGGCCCTCGAAACAGCTGCCACTGAAATGGATAACGGGAGACTTGCAGACATTTGAAATTTTGTATCCATCTTGCAGCAATTTGAAATTTTGTATCCATCTTGCAGCAATTTGAAATTCTACAGTCTACAGCTTGCAGCAATTTGAAATTCTGCAAGTTACAACTTGCAGCAATTTGAAATTCTGCAAGTTACAACTTGCAGCAATTTTAAATTTTGCAATGACAACTTGCAGCAATTTGAAATTCTACTGGTTACAACTTGAGCCAATTTTGAATTCTACAAGCTACAGTTTGCATCAATTTTGAAAGCTATGAGTCACAGATTGCTCAAGGCACAACTTGCATCCATCTCGAATTTTTCAGGTATCAACTTGCAGCAATTTCGAATTCTACGGGTTAAAAATTGCAGAAATTTCAAATTGTACAAGTTACAGCTTGCAGCAATTCTGAATTCTACTGGTTGGAACTTGCATCAATTTTAAATTCTACAGGTTATAACTTGCAGCAATTTTGAATTATCCAGATGCAGCTATTCGAAATCTACAGGTACAGCTTGCAGAAATTTTCAATACATCATGTTACAACTTGCAGCAATCTTGAAATCTACAAGACACAACTTGCAGTAATTTGAAATTCTACAAATTACAGCACGCAGCAATGTGACATTCAACAAGGAACAATTTTATATTCTACAGGTTGTACTGTCAACAATTTTTGATTCTACAGGTTAACACTTCAATTTTGAATACTACAAGGCACAAAGTGCAGCTATTCGAAATTTCACAAGTACAGCTTGCAGCAGTTTTGAATTGTACAGGTTACAACTTGCAGGGATTTTGAATTTTACACTATTCTACAGGTTACAAATCGCAGCAATTTTTAATTCGACAATTTATCACAACTTGCAGCAATTTAAAATTCTACAAGGCACAACTTATAGTAATTTGAAATTTTTTATGCCATGACGCAGGAAGATGGATAGGGATGGAATTGGTCAGAACGACAGCGCAACACCAATGTGAAAAAATTTTATTGAAACCTTCAACTTCCTCATTTAACCACTTGCAGTATTTTGATATTTTGTAAGTTAAAGTTTTCGAAACTCCCTTTTTCATTTCTGGCCCCCTCTGGAAACAAATCCCTCATAGTCAATGCTGATAGTAATAATTTTCTTTTGTTTTCACATGGTGTCGTGATATGAATTTTCTGCCAATGGTGTCCAAGTAAACTCAAAATTCTGATGATATTTTATTTTCGACCCTGCCAGATGATATAATTTCTACATCCCTCCAACTACGGCAAATTTCGAGCCTTATCACGAAATTACTACTATAACTTGCAATAACTGCAATTTTGAACTATATTGAATAGAATCTTCAATTGAAATTGTCGAAAATAATCATGGAATAAAAATTGTAATATAATAGAAAAAATGTTGGAATCGGTTCAATAATCTTATATGGTATACTTCGATGTTTACTTTTTCAGGTACAGGGTGATTCACCATAAATGTCCCCCCCTCTAGCTCATTTATTTTTGAACCGATTTAAAAATTTTAAAAATAATCTGAAATGATTTTTCAAAATTTTTTTTTCTGTTGCATCAGAAAATACAGGGTGCTCGGAACAAACGATCTACAGAGTACTACTTGATTTTTTCAAAAGGAACACCCGGTATTTCATTGAATTTTTAGATTCTTCCTGAAGAGCTGATTTCATCAATGCATCACACTTGGGGTCTAGCGGGAATCTTTACAGAGATATAGGGTGTTCAGAATCGAGATTTCTCAAACTTAAGGATTTTTTTCTGTCGAAACTATTCATAATTGGTCAAAAAGGTTTGCATGTCCCTATCTCAACTTTTGATTTACTATCTAGTGACATTTAATTGGAACATTTACAGGGTGGTTCAAGATTCAGAATTCTGATCACCCTGTATCTGTTTCCATTATTAAATGTCAGTAGATAGTAAATCAAGAGTTGTGGTACGGACATGGAAGCCGTTTTGACCGATAATGAATAGTTTCGTCACAAAAAAATCCCATAGTTGGAAAATCTCGATTTTGAACACCCTATATCTCTGTAATCTTTCCCGCTTGACCCTGAGTGTGATACATCGATCAAATCAGCTCTTCTGGGAGAATCTAAAAATACAATGAAAAATAGGGTGTTCCATTAAAAAAAAATAAATAGTACCCTGTAGATCGTTTGTTCCGAGCACCCTGTATCTTCTGATGTAGCAGAAAAAAACTTTATCGAAAATCATTTGAGATGATATTTCAAATTTTGAAATCGGTTCAAAAATAACTGAGCTGGAGGGGGGGACATTTATGGTGAATCACCCTGTACCTAAACAAATTTTGTTAGTTTTTTTTGTAATTTCAAAAGTGGGAAAAGCTCCATTTTATTGCATTTGTGAAATAACTACTCACTTATACCATGTTTGTATATCGAAATGAAGGGATGTGAAGTGGCCGAAGTGTTTGCAATTCTGACGTGTGTCCAAGAAAATTTCGGCAGAAGTGGACGTGGACCAGTCACCATATGCTCGGACAGTAAAGCTGCTATTATGGCATTGAGATCCAATAGGATCACAACTAAATTGGTGTCCGAGTGTAGAAGTGCCTTAGAAAATATGGCAAAAACTAGGAAAGTCAGCCTCATGTGGGTTCCAGGACACTCTGGTATCCCGGGGAACGAGGAGGCAGACAGACTAGCCAAGATCGGTTCAGGAACGACACCAATTGGACCAGAACCGATACTGGGAATACCCAATAGTACGGCTATGTCCTTCATGAAGGAAATGCTACAGAGGCAGTTCCTTGAAACATGGCGGGACACACCAGGAATGAGACAATCAAAGCTCCATATAAAGGAACCTTCAAAAAGGCTCACGAGAGAGATCCTGTCACTTAATAGAAGGGATCTCAAGATGGTAGTTGGGCTCTTAACTGGGCACAACCACCTCAACAGGCACCTAGAACTCATAGGGATCAAAGATGATCCCATCTGCAGATGGTGCTTGGAGAGTGATGAAACATCATCACACATACTTACTCAATGCCCCGCGCTGGTGCATCAGAGGAAAGCTGCCTTTGGGAGCATTGTACTGCACCCAAAGGATGTGAAAGTGACTCAGCTGAGGAAGCTGCTGAATTTCGTCAAAGAAATCGGCATGCCCAGCTGATTCACAGGACAAGTGGGCGCACAATGGGCCCGACTGAAGAGGCCTGAGTGCAGGGGTCTACGCACCCGCCCACCTGTGCAGAGAAGAAGAAGAAGAAGAAGAAGAAGAAGGGATGTGAAGAAAAAATCAAACGCATAAAAATAAAGAAATTTATTGCGATCACAATAAAATGTATATAAATCCAGTTATTTTCAAAAAGAAAATAACCTATTTTTTTGTCAAATTCCACATATAAATAAATATAGTCACTAATATCACAGATGACAAATGTAAAAGTAAATCCGAAAATAAAAAACGTGCCCACCACGCATGAATAAAAAACAACATGGAGTATGAACCATTCCACGCATACAATAATTGACTATCATGGTGACCATTACTTCAGAAATCAATTACTGAGAAACAAAAATTTTCCAATTTAGAACCTCATCATTATAAACAATTTTGGATCATGAGACTGATGGCCAAGTCGGCAGTTGATGAGTTGACGGTCACAATTCTTGCACTCTAGCTTTTGATGTCTGTGTGCTCCGGGTTCAGGAAAATATTATACAAGTACTCCTGCAATTTTTCCGGTGTCAGACAGTTTCCAAAGTGCAGGACAGGTATAAACAGTGTCTGAGGTTTCATACACTTTTGGTCCGTGCCAAGTGTTGTTGAGTTTGATGCTGGTGCTGAATTTCCAGTTTTTCCTGCAAGAAATAGAACGTGATAATTCAAGGAATGGTCCTTTGTGATTTTTCCTGTAGATTTCATATATGTTGAAAGAAAAGCAGTTGAAAATCTCAAGAAGAAGTTTTGGACAACTTGTGCAAGTTGCGCTTCTATGTTACTAAGAATATGCCGTAGAGAATTTTTTTAAATTCCGAGTATTTCCGGAGATACACAAAAAATAGAACTTTTAAATCATATTTTATTTTTTTCTGGAGTTGTTTGTTGGAGAATATCAAAATTGAGAGCACATTCACACATTTTCCCTGCTATACGATGCATTTTTCAGATTCACCTTGCTATTATCAATGAAAATGATTTACAAAAATGTAAGTTTTTTTCGTATATCTCCGGAAAATCTAGGAATTTTATATTTTTCTCGATGACATATTTTTAGTCACATAAATGCGCAACTTTGTCCTAATTTAACCATCTTCGTTAATCTCCTATAGTTTCCTAGCACTTGAATTTGAATTACCCTGTACTATACAGGGTGGATCTGAAAGTGAGGTTTTCCATTCAATAGCGTATATCTCGCCAAAATGAGTTGTTTGGCCTCAAATTGTTTCTGTAAAAAATGTAAGATAATGGAGGTATTTCAAGTTTTTGTACATTATAAATCTGAATCCATTAGAGGAAATATGATAAAAAAATAACTTCAAAACGAAAATTAATAGGTTGAAAATGTGAAAAGAGGTATTTGTCTAATTTATCTGATGAAATAATACAACTGCAGGGCATCAAATGCATTTTTGTGTTTTTTCGAGAAAATAGTTGGAATCTTCTCTTAACCTTTAAATACCAAACAGCTTATTTTGGAGAGATATATTTCCTGGTAAAAAGAAAATCTCACTTTCAGATTCACCCTGTATATATTATGAAATCTACAGGAAAACTTACAAAGAACCGTTCCTTGAAAAAAAACTAATTAACGAAAAAGTTGTGGAGGGTATTTCGAAATGTACGTACAGAGTGTCTCCGAGTCTCCGTATATTTTGACCCCTACCTACAACTTCAACTATACGAGGTGGAAAAAAACTTCACAAATATGAAACTTGTAGGGTTGCATCTGTAGCGGTTCTTCATAGGAATTTTATTGTAGAGGACAATGATTGAGTTGATTGATTTATTTTTTCGACCAGTTGTCTACCTATTGTCATCTACCAATATACCATGTGATTATAATCTACTATATCGTACACATCTGTATACTATCGTTTAGCACAGTTTGAACAAACAGAATCAGAGAATTCAAAAAAAGTCTTAATACAATCTTACTATTGATATTTTTCCTCTACGGAATAACGACCCATTCTAATTAGAAAAACTGACAGAGATGTCAAAAATTGCCTGTTTTGTTTCCATGGCATTCTGTTGTATCCACGGCCATCTAAATGTTTATTGGCAATTCTGATTGAATATTGTAGAAGTAGAATAAGTGCAAAAACGGCTCAAGGGAAAATTAGCAAACTATATATACAGTGTGTTCCGCATTTCATGAATACACCCTGATATCTCAGTTATTATATATGTGATTTCCTCAGAATTTTGGTGTTGATTGTATGTTAGAACAATGAAGTATTATTTTATGGAGAAGGATATTAGGGCTTATTTTAAATAACTTTGTTCATCAGATTCAGAGTCAGCACCCCCTAAAACTCCCCAGAACGTATATATTTGTGAATAGAACTAAAACATCTCTTACTAGAGTTGGAAATATACAGTGTGCTTCGATTGAAAAAATAATTTGTGCTCTCTTTTCATTTCGCGATTCGCATCTGTTCGTTTACAGAGTGCGCAAAGATAGTACAGATGCTGAACCTAAAACTTTCCTATTGGATTTTTTTTCCACCCCGTATATTTGCAGCTGTAGGTAGGGGTCATAATATAAGGAGACACCCAGTACATGAACATGTAGGGTGTTTTCGATGACATATTGATATTGAAGGAGTAAATTGCTTGAATGCTATGACAAATTCTAACTTGCTTAATTTTCGAGATATATAGGATATTAAAAATGGAAATATCAATTGTTTCTTTTGAACAGTAGTGGCGAACTATATATTTTTCTTCAAAAGTACATTTCAAATTTGACAAATATAACTAGAATGAAATCAGAAATATTTAAAAAAATGTTTTCGAACGTTTAACACCCCCTCAAAAATAAGATGTAATGTTCATGAAGAGTTTTTTTCTTAAAATTGATCCAAGAATCCACCTGTGAAATATTGGCGAAAATAATAATAATATGTATTATTTAAAACGAAAATCCAATCATTTTATTGCCTTCGGTGACTGACTGATCAGTACAGATCGATTATAAGAGAGGGGCATCTTGAAATATAGCGATACTTACTGAATATTGAAAATTTTACCGGCCGAAAATAAACGAGAAAATCTCCAGCAATGCGAACACAAGGATCACACTGTAGAGGGTAATCTGAATATTCTACAAGATAAATGCTTGACTGACCTTCGATAGACTTAGTGCCAGGCTCACTGTTCTCTCCAGATTCGTATGAAAAGGTTTCCGAAGGCGAAGTCGATCCAGACGGCGCGTTCACTGGCTGTTCAATCTCGGTGCCACTCGATTGGTCTGTTGTTGGATCCTGATTTGTTTCTGGAACTTCCAAGTCCCTTGTTTCAAATGGGAAATCATTCGATGTTGTACCTGATGGTGGAACTGTCGTTATATTTCTTGGTGACTCTGTTGTCTGTGATTGTGGACGACCCGTTAGTGGTGATGAAGACTGTGTTGTTTGTGATTGTAACTCCAAGTCACTCACTCCAGATAGAACATCTTCAGCTGATGGTCGAAGAGTCGTTATAGCTCTTGGGGACTCCGTTGTTGTTGTTGATAGGTTAGTTATCAGAGGATCCATTTCCCTCACATCAGATGGAGATTCTGTTAATATTGAATCTGATGGCGATACTGTCGTTATATCACTTGCCTCTGTTGTTGGTTGCATTGTTGGAATCCGAGTTGTTGATGAAACGGCCAGCAGATCACTTGGGGAGTCTGTTGGTGGTGATTGTTCCAAGTCCAAGGCCCTCGAATCAACTGGGAAATCTTCTGATTGCGAATCTGGTGGTAGAACTGTCGTTATGTCACCTTGAAACTCTGTCTGTGGTGATGGAGGCTGGGTTGTTGGTGATGGTAGATCCAAGTCCAATACTGTTGTTGGTGAATCTGATGGTGCAGATGTCGTTAAATCCAAGTCCCTTACGTCAAATTCCGATGGGCTGGTTGTTATATCACTTGGAGGTTGAGTCGTTGCTGATGCTGGCGATGACACGAAGGTGCTGTTGTTAGGGTTCTGGATCAGCCCTTTCGCGCAGATAGGCTTTTGTTGGTTGTTGATGAGGTGGGTGATGATCTGTAGAAGATGTCCCAAGAGACATGATTGGTCGGATGGAGATATCACTAGATCTTCACAGGTGCACTTGGACGGGGCAGAATTACAAGTGTTTGTCGTTATCAGTAGTAAACCGATAAGGGCAATAATTGCCCTTGCAGGACTCATGGCGAAATGAAGACACGAAATAACGATATATCTTTTATATGTTCGACTGCGGAATATGCGTTCGTGTCGAAAGTATGTGTGTTGGTGTTTTCGTTTATGGAATCGTTAGATGTCACGGTTGCAGTTCGTAGCAAACGGAATGTTTGGATTCATTGACCTAATATTTTTTGAGTTCACTTGGTATCGAAAACATCACGGATTTATAGTTTTGAATGAATTTTTATGATATTCCGAATGATTTGAATTTATAGAGTCATGGTAATGTAAGTACATGAACTCAGGTCAAAAACATTTATTTTCACCTGGAATTGTGATAATTTACATATTTAATTTGGTATTTATTGAGCTTTCGGTTTCTCAATCATTAAACTGATCAACGTAGCACCTACTATGGATATATTTTTATAGATTCATTCATGATTATCATCTTATTGGAATTTTTTTGTATGGAAAATCAGAAAAACTACACAAGCGTACCAGTTTTCTTCGTCGTTACACAGGATGTTCATTTGATAATTACACAATTTACTCTCTGAATTCGACTGGAAATGTTTCAAGAAATACATATACAGGGTGATAAAATTAAAAATCATGAGGAGATTGTTCTTTTGATATGCCAATTCAATTTTTTGTACATACAAGGTGAATTAAATGCGCAATAAATCCGCTAGCAGAGAGGTGAATGATTATTTTGCAAATCCAGAGACACCTTAACGTTTTAATGTATTCTCCTACATTTTGTAAGCAATATGAAGAACTATATCCCTCCAGGAGTAACTGAAACCACCATGATTTTTGTAAATGTAACCCAATGGCTTGTGACCCCTCATTAAAAAGCTGGTTGAAAGACGAATCCAGCTTACTGATGGAAATTTAGTTTGCAGTCGATCTGTTTGAGAGTAGTTGCACAAAATCAAAACATAATTTCAATGTTTCAAATATTTTCGAGGTAGGTAACGTATTTTCCGAGGTATTTTCATCAAAATTTCGATTTCCAGCGATTCAGGTAAATAACACAATTTCACCAGTTTGCAACAACACTTTCGAACTGTTAATACCGCATACGAACAAATTTTTTTTGCGGCTGCGTAAAAACACTGGTACAGGGTGATTGTTTATATTTTTCTCAATAGCTATCTCAGTTAATATTGGTCTCACAAAAACGTTCAAATAGCGAAAATGAAGTATTTTTTATAGGCATTCAGAATCTATTACTATAGGAAATGAAAAATATCGTAAACCTAAAAAATCTACAAAGACTGGTATTTTTTAAATAGAACACCCTGTGTTTTATTTCACTAATCAGTATAGCTCTTTCATCTGATTCCAAAAATATATACTTATTGAGGTTATCTTTATCAGTTTTCGAAAAATGTGGATTTTAAGGCAGCTGTAGAACGCCAAAAATCGGATCATTGTCGTCTGGCGTTCAGCACCTGTCTATACAGGGTGTCCCGAAATTAGCCTGCCAAAGTTCACCTGCGGCTTCTGCAATCAGAAATAGAAAGAAAAGTTTCAATGAACATGAGATGAGAAATTTCTCCTAAGTAAGCTACGGCCCTCTGAAGATGACATTTCTTGAGTATTTCCGAAACTCCATGTGATAAAAAGATGCAATTTGGTACAAGAACTAAACTTTCCATGCCCCAAGCAGTGAATATAGAATCATTTAAAAATTCACTCAGGAGTGTATAATACAGGGTGTGACTACATTAAATATTGCTCAAAATTTTTGGTATGCATATTTTTCGACAATTTATTCTCGGATTATAAAAATCGACACCTCTTCACAGAAAAAAGGTACTCTTGTTCCGTAACAAATAGATGTATTATCATCGAGTAAAAGTAATGATGTAGTGAAAATGGAAAAAATGATGCACAAAACTTAAAGTAGTTTTTTTATCATCATATTCCGATTTTTCACGCTATTATCAGATTGTTTGGTGAAAATAAAGTAGTTGATTTCTTCATAGCCACTATGTGAGTGTATCAATATTTTTTTCTACATTCATGCAAAAAACAGAACTTTATTGAACTATATTTAGTGGAAAGAGAAGTTCTTTATTGCACTTAGTGCAATAAAGTTTTTATTGCACTCATCTGTCATTCTACTTCAACGTGCTGTCATCATGACAAACATTTTCTATAATGCAACTGTGGTTATAGAAACGTCAGTCAAAAATTAATTCTGACAATTAACAGAATTGTACCTAGTGCCGCACCTCAATAAATCATTTTTTTCTACAAACGTCAAAAAATGACAATGTTCGCGCATTGATAACAAATTGCGAAGTGACACTTTTTTTCAGTTTCCTACGTTACCCTGATACCTGGCACAAAACAATGCGCGAAGTAAAACAGTGCGCGAAGTACCTACTTCGCGCATTGTTATGTAAAATATATGAGATATTTATATTTCAACTTTATGGTTCTCAATGGAGCGAACATCCACGAAATCATTTATTTCTGAATGTTCAACAATTACCTTGTTTTATCTCTTGGAGCGCACGAAAGGAAATTCCTATAATGTTCGCGGAACATCGTGCTTACCTAGGGAGGATAGGGGGAGGCCTTTTAAGCCAGTTCAACACCATTTTTTATATCAATCTGAGCATATTTTTACATTAGAACTATATTTTTTGACGTTTGTAGAAAAAATGTTGTTTGCAACTCGAGCGCGAAATACTTTGGTCATCTCGACTATTTTTTTAACTCGGCTACGCCTCGTTAGAAAAATCAGATCTCGATCACCAAAGTAGCATTTCGCGCTCTAGATACAAAAATAACTATTTGCTTTTTGCATGAACGTAGAAAAAATGTTGTATGCAACTCGTGCAAAAATTGTTTATTGCACTCGACGTGTTGTCCAACTCGGCCTAACGGCCTCGTCGGACAATTTCACGTCGAATGCAATAAACATTCACTTTTTGCACTTGTTGCATAAATAACTATTAAATCGATTTCAGTCGAAAATGATATATCTGATCGATGCGGAACAAGAGCATTTTTTTGTGAAACGGTGTGGATTTTCATATTCGGTGATAGTCGAAAAATGTGCATACAAAAAAGTTTGAGCGATATTATCCACTCCTGAATGAAACTTCGAAATGATGGTATGTTCACCACAGTGGGTTTCGGGAATATTCAAGAAATATCATCTTCCCCCCCTTCCTGGGGGCCGTAAATATCTTTAGAGACATTTCTCCAAAGAGAACTTTTTTTCCTATTTTTGGTCGTAGAAGCCGCTGGTGAAGTCTGGCATGCTAATTTCGGGCCACCCTATATACAGTCTGTCCAAGATAAGGTTGCACAGCATGGGGATCTCGGAAACGGCAGGAGATACGAAGTCGGTTAAATGGGGAAAAAGTTGCGCATTCGGAGGCTCATACCAACAGCCTTCGAAAATTTTCAAAATTGTTTTCCAGTTATATCCAAAAAAGTGAAATTCTGGAATACCTATTTCATTTTTTTTCTCCGTTATAATTAGAGATACAGAAAAACTGAAAATACTTTTTCATAGCAACTTTTGATGACGTTCAACGTGGTGATACCGATTTTTCTATGCGACGTTTCGTATTCGTAGATCCATCACCAACTTTTGTTTTTCAAACACGGTCCTGATAATTCTTTCACAGATTCTGAAAGCTTTTTTTATTATGAATTCAACCATGTATTGAACGAGGTGGTTTGAATGTGTTTCGACCTATTTTAAGCCATCATCAATGTTTTTTTCGAAATTCCAAAGGAAAAATCGGGAAAAATGCCATCAGTTCCACTTATTTCTGATTATTCAGTGTCAAACATTGATGGACTAGTTAATCAATACTGAAAAGTGAAAAAAAAATCCACTAAATTATTCAATGCAGCGCTTCGAATTGTTTATGAATTGTATTCATATTTTAATCCGAAGGAGCTTGTCATAATTAAATTTTTCGAACTAATTATTCCTATAAGTCTATCAATCGGAACTAGTTGATGAGGTATTACTTTGTTGGCTAATTTTCCTTCAAAATATGTGGAACTGATGGCATTATTCCTTTGGAATTTCGAAAAAAACATTGATGATGGCTAAAAATAGTTCGAAACACATTCAAACCACCTTGTATAATACATTGTTGAATTCAGAATAAAAAAAGCTTTCAGAATCTGTGAAAGAATTATCAGGGCCGTATTTAAAAAACAAAAGTTGATGATGGTTCTACGAATACGAAACGTCGCATAGAAAAATAGGTATCACCACGTTGAACGTCATCAAAAGTTGCTATTAGAAAGTATTTCCAGTTTTTCTGTATCTCTAATAATAACGGAGAAAAAAAATAAAATAGAGATTCCAAAAATTCACTTTTTTCGATATAACCGAAAAACTAAAAAAAAATTTGAAAATTTTCTAAGGCTGTTGGTATGAGCCTCCGAATGCGCAACTTTTTCCCCATTTAACCGACTTCGTATCTCCTACCGTTTCCGAGATCCCCATGCTGTGCAACCTTATCTTGGACAGACTGTATACAGGAATGTGCAAAAAGAACGGCCAGGACTGTAACTTTCGAATTATTCCAGATAGGGTTCTGAAAATTGGTGGGTAGCACGTATACCAAATTGCTCATTAGTTGATGAAGCAATATTTCTTCTAAGACTTCTAGTTTCACCGGAAACGACCTTTACTTTTGATTTTTGAATGGGACACCATGTATTGTATTCCATAATCGGTTAGGGATTCAAAGATACCGGGTCTGATAGGGTTATTTCAAACGATTATAAAGATATTTGCGTTCGAAGTCTTTATATGCTCAATGGGTATGACTGCGCAATATCAAAACGTCTTTCTCTGTCACACTCATTGAGCATGTGGAAACTTGGAACGCGATCTGCGGAATAATCGTTAGAAATAACCCTATCAAAGCCGGTATCAATGAATTCGTTATGACAATCCCCAACCGATTATGGAATATAATACAGGGTGTCCCATTTCAAAATCAAAAGTTGGGGTAGAGAAATCCAGCGTACTAGTCAAATTATTATTTTTCATTTCAAGGTTGCATTAAATTGAAATGTAATGCCCTGTATCACTTTCATAAAAAGTCGAAATTAATATGAAAATATATAGAACTTCGAAATTATATTTTGATTTATGCGACCCCCAAACTTACTGCGAACTGAAATATGATCAGTACGCTGGATTCCTCTTTCGACCGGCTTTCCAATGAGGGGTCGCAAGTCATGGGGTTGCGTTTGAAAAAATCATGTTGGGGTTGATTCTAGCTACCCCAGAAGGGTTATATTCTTCGTATTG